ATTACGTAATCGTACTACAGTACACATCTTTAGTATTTCTTGAAGCAATTCCAAAATAGTTTCTTTTAGCTTCCTCCTTGGACATATAATTTTGCAGGTTGAAGAGAATGAGATCATCAAGAACTCATTTCTTAATTTTTTTATCTTCTCTTTTCTTAATCTTGGTTATAAAATTTGAACACTGAAATCACAACTTGTTACACTCTTTCTCAAATCCTAAACATGAAACCTTCATCACCAATTTCTTTCACTTCTTCATCTCCTTCTCCTTCACTTCCACGAAAAACTCGTCTCTCTCCTTACCTCTTCACACTCATAATCTTCATTCTCTTCGTCTCTGTTCTCTACGGCGAAGATTTCATGTGCATCTTTGGCAAGCTCGAGCCAAATTTCGTCATACCGCCTTCTCGAACACCCGGTAACGATCTCTTTCACTGAGCAACACTTGTTTGAATTCTCCTTAGATAATGTGACATTGAGATTGTGTTTTGGATATTTTGGATTCTTTAGAGAAGAACAAGAAAGTGGAGAAGATTGCGTTTGCGATAGGTAAAACAGAGGAAAGCTGTGACGTATTCGACGGGAAATGGGTAAGAGACGAAATCTCCCGACCACCGTACGAGGAATGGGAGTGTCCGTACATTCAACCTCAGCTTACGTGTCAAGAACACGGTCGTCCCGACAAAGATTACCAATTCTGGCGGTGGAAACCCAATCACTGCGATCTTCCCTCGTAACCTCTTTCTCTCTGTTTCCTCTGTTACTGCTCTGTTTCCTCTGTTTCGTGAGTTTACTCTGTTTTCTCTGTTTCGCAGATTCAACGCGACGCTGATGTTAGAGACACTGAGAGGGAAGAGGATGATGTATGTAGGAGACTCATTAAACCGTGGAATGTTTGTATCGATGATTTGTCTTCTTCATCGTCTTATCCCTGATGATCAGAAATCAATCAAAACCTCTGGTTCACTCACTGTCTTCACTGCCAAGGTAACTCTATCTACTTAAAACTTAAATCATCACTCTTTTTTTTTTTTGTATTGCAACATTTCACATTATATAGAGCTTATTATCTATATGCGCAGGAGTATAACGCGACGATAGAGTTCTATTGGGCACCGTTTCTTCTAGAATCGAATTCAGACGATGCGATTGTGCATCGAATATCGGATAGGGTTGTGAGAAAAGGGTCAATTAACAAACATGGTCGTCACTGGAAAGGCGTTGATATAATCATATTCAACAGTTATCTATGGTGGATGACTGGTTTGAAGATGAACATTTTGTAAGCACACTTTTGTAACTTAAGATCACAACAATTCATATAACTATCTAAGAATGGTTTATGATGTTGTTTCATGGGAGCATACAGGCAAGGTTCGTTTGACGATAAAGAGAAGGATATCGTGGAGGTTTCGACTGAAGATGCATATCGAATGGGTATGAAGAGTATGTTGAGATGGGTGAAGAACAATATGGATCGTAAGAAAACTAGGGTTTTCTTCACAAGCATGTCTCCAACTCATGCCAAGTTAGTAATTTCGACCGATAAATTTACCGCATAAATAGATACGTTAGATTGATAATCCAGCCTTGTTACTATATATATTCAGCTTGAAACGCCACTAACTGCGTAAATTCTACTTACTTAAGTAACAAACTGATAGTTTCTTTCTTAGCAAGAAACCTATTTGGTTAGGGTTTTTGTTGATTTAGTTTTGTTTCTGGTTCTATGAGTGCTTTTCAGGAGCATAGATTGGGGAGGTGAACCGGGTCAGAACTGCTATAATCAGACAACACTCATAGAAGATCCAAACTACTGGGGATCAGATTGTCGGAAAAGCATAATGAAAGTGATTGGAGAAGTGTTTGGAAGATCGAAAACGCCGATAACGTTACTGAACATAACGCAGATGTCGAATTATCGGAAAGATGCGCACACGTCGATATACAAGAAGCAGTGGAGCCCACTTACGGCGGAGCAGCTGGAGAATCCGACGAGCTATGCAGATTGTGTACATTGGTGCTTGCCTGGTCTTCAAGATACTTGGAATGAGCTTCTCTTTGCTAAACTTTTCTACCCTTGAGAAAGAAAAAAAATGAATATAGTTTCTCTGTTGGAACACGACACCGTTTTGTTTTTTTTTTGAGTTTGGAGGACTTGTGTTGATATTGTAAAACGTAGTCATTGAATTGATATTGTTCCCGTTTTGGTTATAAGCAAAAGTGTTTTGACAAATCGAAGATGAAAAGTTGCCTCTAACTCTAATGTATCTATTGAGGAAAAAATGGTCTCTAGTGTAATCTTTGGAAATTTATGAAATTGATCATTATTTTTGTCATTGAATTTATATTTAATCTCTGTGAGAACATACACAAACCGGCGGATAACCGAAATATCACCGGAGCCAAAAGTCCAAAAAGACAAAGAGGGGAACAAATAAAATGGAAAGACAAGATCAAACCAAACCAACAAGACAGTGGAAAATGATGATAAACAATTTTTTCATTAATTATATTTACGGGGGAAGATTAATTAAAAAAAAAAGGGAATGATCATTTTTAATCAACAGATAAATTGGTAACTTATGTTGATCAAACCACTTTGGTCTCAATGTTAGTCAGCATTAACCTCACATTTACCATGTTATAAATGTTAATGAACACTAAATAAACCGTTAAATCAAAAGTTTTGATAAAACTTATAATCTCAAAATTAAATCATAATCTTCAAATTAAGTCAAAACTCCAATGGCTCTCGCTTAGGCGATCGTAACGACCCGGTTTTAAATTTTCTGTGCAAATGATCCGACAATTCTCACGGCTCCGATCATGGTTTCCGGCCGGAAATCAGGCGCAAGTCCCTCGGCACATCACTGGTGCTGCGTTTCCTCGGCACCTATACGGTGCTGCGTCTCCTCTTCTTGTCGAGTTTGGACCCAAATCCTCGGTGTGGTTTGGCTCAGGTTTGGTGGGTGCGACCACAACGGTAGGGATCTAGACGGATCTCTCTTTCAATAATCATTTCGATGGATCCATAGATATGGAAACCCTCTCGCGATGGAAAGCTCATGAAACTGAGGATTCAATGTCCAAAGGCATAATTTTTGGATATCACCTGCTTTTTTTCAAGGGTATCAATCAGAGTGATTTCACTCACAACGAATCAACGGAGATCGGAAATCTGGAGGAGATGATTATGGGATTCTCGTGGTTCTATAAGGAGGACGCAATCTCCTTCCTCACAATCACAAAAGCTTGCATCGATATTGCTTTATCTCATACAAGCTCACAAATCTCCATCAAGCTTTCTTTGGCAAATTGATTGCTCCAGAACATGAAAGAAAAAGATCCAAGCCCCTGCAACTCCCTCCGGTGGATCAAGAGATGATTCGGAAGAAATTCGACAAGACTTTGGTGGGTCGTGTTCTGAACCTGGAGGTTCAAGAGAGCCGTGTCAAGGCTTTAATTGGTTGTTTACCGACGGTGTGGAAGTGTGAGGGTCGTGTTCAAGGAATTGAGATGGGAAGAGGGAAGTTTCACTTCCGTTTTTAGGAGGAATCCGACCTCCAAGCTGTGCTAGATAACCGCCCATATCATTTTGATGGATGGATGAACGCATCGAACGCATCAATTCCTTTTTAGGTCCAATTTTTGGACCTTCCAGGCCAGCATTGTGATGATCGTACAGTGAAGCGCATCAGAGAGGATCTGGGTGAGCTGCTGGAATGGAGGGTTGTGGAACCATACCCGCTCCTTCGGGTGATGGTTGAATGTGATGCTCCTCTCATATTGCATCGAGAGACAGTCTCGGACACTGGAGAGCTGTTCCAGATTTGTTTCGATTACATGAAGATCCAAAACTATTGGAAGTGCTGTTATCGTTTGACTCATGAAACGAGAGTGTGCCCAGAGCGTTTGGGTGCCCAAATGCATCACCGTCAGCCATATCAGAGACGGGAGACAGAAGACGAAAGAAGACGGTGGAGAGGGGCTCGAGCGGAGGAGGCTGTCCGACCAGGCATCAATCGCGAGCCAATCAACACGGTTGTGAAACACAATCCGAAAGACATGGCCTACACGTCTAAGTGAAAGCCGGTTCGAAGGTATTTGTTATCGGAATTGGGCGAGGCTAGGGAGACGGTGGAGGAAGAGAAATTTTTTTCCAAATCTTCAACCAAGGAATGGGTACGCAAGTCTTTCACAAAAGAAGACACTCGTACGAACAACGCCGGTAATGTCGCGCCCACCATGAAGGACCAGAATCCATCAAGGAAAGATGCAGGAGGAGATCGTGCTCCCTGGTATCGACAATCAGAAGAGGTGGCGGCGATAGTCAATTAGGCCAATGATCAAATCCGTGCGTGGGAACGGGTGGACGGAGCACCCAGACAGTCAGAGAGGGTGGAGAAAGAGGAGGAAACAGTGAGAGTGCCAGAACCTGTGTGGGCGCAATGCTAAAATAAGGAATGGGCTTCGCAGTGGGCCTAGAGGACTGCCCTATCAGTAAAAAAAAACTAGCCCAAAGGATCAACAAGGCCTTAGGGGTACGAAAGAAGATTGAACATAGGCTGTTTCGGGGCTCTCGCATTCATAAGCACGCGTCCTTAGCCCGGGAGGATCCTGACAGAGGAGCCACAACTTTGGACAATGCGCATATCCCGTCGACCTCGAAAACGGGCCCTGATGAAGGGCAAATTTCGAAGGACTCTCAAGAACCGATGGTTAAAGGGAAACCATCGGCAGCCGCTTAAATGATCCTAAGC